CCCCAGAGACGGCGCTGGTTGCTGGAAAGCAGAAACCTGCCTCCACTATGTTCGTACCCTAAGACCGTACAGACGGGGGCCTTAGGCTAACCTAGTGTACAGGGTGGGTCAAATTCGACGCTTTTAAATGGAAACAACCTTTCCTATAGGATTTTGTCAAAAACATGATGGTGAAAACCGCATATCGATATCTGTTACCGTTTCGGAGCTACGGGGTGTTTTTTCAAAAATATGCTATTAACAAATCGCTGTAACTTTTTTGCTATGGAAAATTTTGTATTTTTATGAAAACATTTCCAAAGCACCTTTTTACGTAGAATTTAATGGTTTAAGTATAATTTTTTTTAAATTAATAATTTAAGAATTATCAACAGAAAATTTGATTTTTTATATGGGACACCCTGTATATTTTTAATTTATTGAAAAGAATTTAAAATTACCTTTCCAAAAATATAACACACTTGATATTTTGCTCGATTCCTCTTCGAGATATAGAGTATATAAAAATTCGCCCGCTTTAAATAAGTATAGGCTTTAAACGGCACCGGCTGTAATGCAAAAAAATTCTAGCTGTGAGCATCAATTAAAACGAAAATAATATTTGCTATGAGAGAATTTTATAACAATTTAAAATATATTTAACCTACATCAACACATTTAAACTATATCTAATAACAATAAAAATAAATAGCAAACCAAGACATGAGATTTTGCTACAGGTGTTCGACATATTGACGGTCTTAGGATTATGGACAGATGGGGCAGTTTTTGAACATTTCCCGCGAAATTCATTAACTCAGTGGGGGTGAAAGATACCCTCTCATAACTGCTAAGTATTTCTAATTCTTGTCTAGATTATTCGGAAGAATAAGGAACCTTTATTCTTCCGCAAATATATCCATAGGATTAGATCCATGGGCATTAAGTCAGGCGGCCTCGACGGCCAACGGCTGGGATCTTGGTTAACTATTTAATTATTCATTATTCTTGAAATTGGCCGCAAAAATTTGCTAACTTCAGCGTTCAGAGGCGGTGCGTCGCGTCGTCTTGCTGGAAAAATATGTTTTTGAGTTCCATTAAGGGCATATCATCAATAAGGGGTCCAAAGCCTACTAGTTAAAAGTGGCGAACTTTTAAAAATTCTGTATTTCGAAGGGGATTATAACAAAATATCAAGTGTGCGATATTTTTGGAAAGGTAATTTTAAATTCTTTTCAGTTAATTAAAAATATAGAGGGTGTCCCAAATAAAAAATCAATTTTCCTGTTGATAACTCTTAAATTATTAATTTTAAAAAAATTATACTTAAACCATTAAATTCGACGTAAAAAGGTGCTTTGGGAATGTTTTCATAGAAATACAAAATTTGCCATAGCAAAAAAGTTACAGCGATTTGTTAAAAATGCACATTTTTGAAAAACACCCCGTAACTCCGAAACGGTAACAGATATTGATGTGCGGTTTTCACCATTATGTTCTTGATGAAAATTGGCTCCAGACACCGATAATCTATCTCCTATAGAAAAAAGGCGTTTCCATTTAAAAAGCGATCAGGTGACCCACCTATACACTGATGTAGGTGTGGTTGTTGTTGTTGTGTGTGGGTCTACAATAGTGTACACTGGTGTATACGGTTGCGAGTTTGTTGAGGGCTTTGTCGACTAATTTTTCCTTCTGTTTTTTATACAGGGTGAGTTTCCTACGATGTTCTCTATGGGTATCTCGAAACTACTGCAGATAGAGAGTCGGTTAAATGGGAAAGAATTGCAGTTTTGTAGGGTCTTAAATATGCGCCTTTCAGATTTTTGAAAAAGTTCATGGCTTACTAGATATTTCGAAAAAACCAATTTCGGCTATTTTAAAAGTTGTCCCTAATTCCATTATTATCTATTGTAGACAAAAAGTTTTCAGATAAAAGTTATAGATAATTACATCCTTAATGAGATAGTGTCTTTCTTTTTTTCTAAAGCGTGTAATTTTTGACATATTACATAAACATATGTTTTTTTAAATGGAAACCATAATTCGCCATGACTTCATAAAAAGCGCCATTTTTTAAGTTTTTTAGCGATATAAGCTATAATATGTTTTTTTCGAAAAATTATTGAGTTATAGCCAGTTCTTACCATTTTTAAACAATTTCACTTAGTTAGCCATGAAAACAAGTTCAATCGCCGTTGCTTTCAAAAATGTGAAGCTGCCACATCCAAACTTTGTAAATTAAAATAAACAAAAATTGTAAATATGAATTTTTCAAATAATGAAAATTTCATTTCATTATGAAATGAAGAAAAGCGTGTAGATACTCGCGCATCAATAGAGTGGTTCCAGCATGACTTTCATTATGCCCCCCCCATAATGAAAGAAATGTTAAAAATTATTTATTTTTATTATAATTATGTGAACATGGTGAATTTAATTTAGTATGTGAGCATAATTATATATCATAATTACGCGAATTCAGGGATATGAAGAGGTGGACCAATTGCATAGGCCTCCTCGATCACCTGATCTATCCATTTTAGATTTTTTTGCGGTATGGTTAACAATAAGGTTTACAAAAAAAATTAAAAGAAGCACTCGAAGTGGCGGTACAAGAGAAGTTTAATCAAGTCGACCGGTCCTTCTGTGAGAATAGGTAGTAATTTAGTTGTAAAAAGATGCAACTCAAAACAATGGCGAATTTTTTGAACATTTTCTAAAATAACTTAAAGTGTATGTAGTGATATTATTTTTATAAGTTTTAGTTTATGTAATGTAAATTGTAAAGAACCGTTTAATAATATATATATGTATAAGTTATAAATCATAACAGAATAAGAATACCATGCAATCTAAGTGAAATTAGCCAAGAAAGATAAGAATTGGCTATAACTAAATTTAACTTTTATAACATGTCTTGAAAATCGTTCTCTAAAAAACGTAACATTCACCGGTCAACGTATCCTCGAAAATGTATGGTTTGGTTTGGTTAGGTTAGGAAAGTTGAACCAATAATCCTACACGCTTTTCTTCATTTGAAAAATTCATATTTACAATTTTTGTTTATTTTAATTTACAAAGTTTGGATGTGACAGCTTTACATTTCTGAGAGCAAAGACGATTAAACTTATTTCCATGGCTAAGTGAAATTGTTTAAAAATTATAAAAAATGGCTATAACTCAGTAATTTTTGGAAGAAGACATATTATAGCTTATATCGCTAAAAAGCGAGGGGTGTCTCACTATTGGAATTACATGTACATTTTCTTGGCAGTCGCTGGCAGTCATTGGCAGTCTTATGACAATCGCCTATTATAATTATATGGCAGTCATAGGCAGTCTTCTTCATTGTCATTGGCAGTCGCTTAGCACTGGAGGGATATTTTGGCATTACGTGTACGTTTTTTACCCGAGTGAGACACCCTTCGCTAAAAAGCCTAAAAATGGCGCTTTTTATGAAGTCAGTGCCAACTATAGTTTCCATTTAAAAAAAAAATATGTTTGTGTAATATCTCAAAAATGACAGGCTTTAGAAAAAAACGGAGGACAAAATCTCATTAAGGGTGTTATTATCTACAACTTTTATCTGAAAACTTTTTGTCTAAAATAGCTTATAATGGAATTAGGGACAACTTTTAAAATAGCCGAAATTAGTTTTTTTCGATATATCTAGAAAGCCATGAACTTTTTCAAAAATCTGAAAGGCGCATATTTATGACTCCACAAAACTGCAATTCTTTCCCCATTTAACCGACTCTCTACCTCCAGTAGTTTCCGAGATACCTATAGAGAACATCGTAGGAAACTCACCCTGTATATTCCCCTCACTATTGCAATTTTTATTTTATTTTTGACTTCGGCTAAGGGTATTGCGGTTGTTGACTACCTCCGCAGCTTTTCTGGACGAAGCCCACAATCATGGGCGACTCTAGTTCTAAGCTTCAAATTGGGGCATCAGGCTCCCCGCTCGCTCCTTTTGTTTTTCATCATCTTCTTTTTTCATCTACTAGGTTGCAGAGGGTGCCTCGTACATCGGCATCGTTTGCTTCTTGGTTTCTATTTTCTTGGGATCGTTGTCATCGCTTGCTGATTTCTTACCGTACTGATAATGCTGGAAGGCAGTTACACTAGTGTATACGGTTTGTTGAGGTACTATTTGGAGTACTATTTCAATTTTTATAACGAAATATCATTGTAATAACAGATATTTTAGAAACGTCTAGGTTTACTTATTTCACTGAGATTTATGAAAAAAGTCCTTTGTCTCTAGTTCGAGACAAAACGAAATTGAACGAAACAACAGAAAACGCAAAAAAATATCCTCCTACGCCCTTCTCAGCAATTTCACGAGTAGTTTTGGGGCGTTTTTAAGAAATAAAAGTAGGTCAAGACAACCGGAGATAAGCCTAGATGTGACAAAGTTAGGCGACGAAACAGGATCTTGACCTGCTTCGAACTGTTTTCCGAAAAGTGTAGACGGTATATTATAGCAGTGAACTTCCTACTTTTAATTTATTTTGCGACTTTATTTTGTGAGCATTCGCTTACGTTATTAAACTAAAGTTAACGTATTTCTAGATGGATTATTATTTTTACACAGAAATAAATAAAAGAGAATTAATAAAAATATACAAGGGTTATTCTATTCTTACAGTTAAAAAAGTAAAGTGTTCTCGAATAGTTGAATTTAAATATTTTAAATAGTTTTTTTTCTTCATTCTTTGTATTTTTTTTTGCTTCCGACGACGGAAAGAGATAAACTTTCCGAAACGTTAAGCATTTTTTTCTTTGTTAGGCAAATTTGTATAACTGTAAATATAACTTCTGACAAGCAGTATCCGTTTAGGTTTAACGCAGAAATGTTTACAAAAAATAACTATTTTATTTTGTAGATTTTCTTGCAGTGCAATGGCGAAATACCCATAAAGGATTTTTTGGAGAGATTCTTGAATTTGTCGACAGCTTTGGTAACCGACTGTTGTCTGCTGTATTCATCTGTGTTCCATACGTTGTCTCACGGTTGGGGTTTAGTCCTCCGTGACCCTCACAGTCGAGGAACTTGTCTCCAGCTGAAGTACCCGTGAGGTTACGGGATAAGGCAGGAAGATCTGTCTCCATTTTCTACACAGGTCTAACTTGGTCTCTCCTTAGACCTGATACCGGTGTTGTCCCGAATCTATAATAGAGGATATATCCCTCTTTCTTCATTGCCTCCATGGACTCTAGTCCAACTTGCGTACAACTTGCGGTGTAATTGACCTCTAGGTCAATTACACCGCTAGTTGTACGTTAGTCGGTACACTTCTACAGAGCCCCTCATGGTAGAAGTAAGAGAAACGAGAATACAATGGGTTGCCCCCTGGTGCCGCAAGGTTAAGACCACTAGAGGCTAGTCTTCTATATAGCCACGCATCCCTTGGACCTGGTCTCGCCATCATAGAATTTAGGTTTTTGGTGAGGTTGTCTCCTAGAGGAAAATTCTATGTGTAATAAACTGGGGTATATCGAAAGGATAAATCATTATTTTATCTGTTTACCGAGTGTTTTTTAGAACATTGTTAGGAGAGAAAATGGAGTATACAGGTCAGAATTAAATCAAAAGGCCTCCTAATTTTTTACACTAATTGTAGTGCAAACTAGATACACTTTCAGACATCGTAAGCGCTCAATCATCTAAAAAAAACATTCATCAGACGTTATACTTAGCAGATAATTATATTTAATTACCGATCAAGTTTAATATAAATCAGACATACAAAATTTGCTCACCGCAACTTTATTATCTCCGCTTCGCGTTCTCTCTGTAATTTTCTGAAATATTTTCTATTTAGAGATGCTCTGGTAGCCGAGCGATATCGACCTTTTTGTATCTTTCTCTATGGGTGGCTCTGATATCTGCTTCAGTGAAACCAGTCGATCGAAAAATGATAAAAACGCTCGTTTTTACGGATTCTGCCTCGAGATGATTCTTCAAGAGAGGGTTTAGATTTATGTTCTGGAAAACCGTTCTCAAAATCGAGTAATTTATTTTATTATTGTTTTGTATATAAAATGGACTAAGAAAAATAGTACCAATAGATGTTTTATTGTAACAAATATCTTATTTGGAATAGTTATTTTAACTCGCTTTATATATATCTCATTTATAATGATATAAATTCTCAAGTTATTTATTAACAAATGTGTTTTCAGGATATAAATATAAATAAAATGATTCTTGAATTCACCCCAATGATATTCTAAAGTATACAAATTTACTTTTAAATAAATTGAACCAATCTCAACAAGTATCTCTAAAACTTTTCCCGTTCTCCTCCCACAGAGTCGGAAACCAAATTTAAATAGAAATCGAACAAAGTTTTCCCATCATGTGTAAACTATTTGTCTGTCTTTATGTTCTTTGTTCGTTTTAGACTAATATAATAGAGTGATTTATTTAAATTTGGCATATTCACACTATGAAATGTTTAAATTCAACCAATAAAAAACGTTTTTTTAAATATTTATATTTATTTTTTATTTAATTTACTATTTATGTTTGGTAGTACAAATAAGTAATTTATATTTACTTAATTATTTATTTTCAATACATATACAATATAACTAAGAGGTATTTCGCGTTTTCTAAAACATATCGACAGTCTGAATTTATTTCAATAGTTTGAAAGTGATTTTGTTTTGTCGGATTTCTGGGTATTTTTGGCATCAATAATGCATGGTAAAAAAAAATTAATTATTAATTATAACTGAATTAAAGAAAATTGTCTTAAAATGTCTATACCTGGCGGCGGATTCATCTATCAAAAAAAAAATCCTTTATGGGTTTCGCCACTGCACTGCAAAGAAAAATCTACAAAATAAAATTGTTATTTTGGTAAACACCGCTGCGTTAAACCTAAACGGACGCTGCTTGTCAGAAGTTGTGTTTACAGTTATAAAAATTTGCCTAACAAAGAAAAAATTCACAGTCCTTTACAAAGATGCAACCGGGGGGGGTATTGAAAATGATGAATAAAAACGTAAAAATCTGATTAGTGTTAATATGAGTGTATTACATACATATGTTTAAATAACGAACTTAACAAAAAACGACAGATTTAAAGATTCACTGAAAAAGTAGTATTAGCATTAAATGAAACATTATCAATAATAATTATGCGATCGCACCTATCCGTAAAACAAACAAGCAAAAAAACAAAATAACGCCACAAGACATCAGGTTAACATGATGACAGATCATGATCGATGACAGATAAAGAATTCTACGGAAAGTTACACTTTGCGATATAATTTTAACTGTTAAAAGGCAACACCATTTAAACACAAAACTTTTAATACCTACTACTGTATCTAAAAGACATTTTTTAAATTACTAAATTCTTAGCCACGCTTCTGTTTTTCTTGGCTGTTGTGCGTCACGTCACAGATTAAGACGTTTGCACCACAAGGCGATGCTGCAGACCACTAGGTAGACCGGTCGTAGAAATTTATGTTATACAACTTGCAGTCAATCTACACAAATATTATTATCAAAAGCGTTTTTTTCTTTTAAAAATATGTTCATATTTTGTAAAAGTATAAGTTAAAAATCGCAAAACTTAAATTTGATATGAATTTCTTAGTTTTAACTAATATAGTGGCGAATTACAAAAATTCCTTTTCAATGAAAATTAATCAGTTAAATAAAATAATTTAATAAATGACTAGCTTTTTCCCGCGACTACGTTTCGCGTTACACCTCGAATCGTTCATGCATTGATTTAAATGATTTTTTACTTCTTTATAGAGAGCTAGTGAGCATAGATGTTTTTTATTTTTCATCTTTTTATTATTTATTAAGAGCACTAATACTCTCTTAATAGGTAATTCTTTGAAGGATAATTGAGGAAGATATATTTTGTTATGACGTCACTAAATAAACCTTTGTATAAAATTTTATACTGTCTGGTTTATAATGTTATACTATTGCATTTTCGTACAGCAAACTTTCATTCCCTATTCTACTCTCTAAGTATAAATTCATAAATTCGCTTTATCTTTGTTCCAATTTTATGTGTATAATCAGAGGTCACCAAGTTTTATATAAATTTTACTAACTTTACCCATTTTGGTTGATGAATTTCAAAATTTCTTCTAGTCTTTTTGTAGGAGTTCATTCTTCTAGACCAAATAGTAGGAATTTTCATACAACAAACTGTTCCAACAGAATTTTACTCTCTAAGAGGATGAATTTCCTAAAATCGCTTTGTGTAGCTAATTCACTAATGTCGTTTAAACGAACCTTTGTGCTAATATTTATGTATCTAAAGCTGGCGGTATGAACTCACTCCTAAAATATCTAAAAACTTAATATATAATCTAACTGACACACCACTGACAATGACAAATAATTTATTTCTGGAGGTATTGTGTGTAGGTGTTAATCAAGAGGTTTTTAGAATAATCAAGAAGTTTTTAGATAAAATTTGCTTTTTATGTCAGATCATTTCTATGAAAAATTACATTAGATTTTTATTAAAGACGCTGGGTAATTAAAACATTGACTAATAAAGCTTGTCCACTTTAAATAAGGGGTCACGAAATATCCTCTTTGGAGTGTTTGGGTTATGGGGTGTATAATAAATTAATCCTTGTTTTATAGTAAAAACCATAAAACATTTTTTTTTATTTGTAAATAAAATAATGTGGTTGGATATCTCTCCTTATAATTAGGTGACTAAAAATACACACTAAAATAATTAGAAAAAAAAATCTTATAATTATTTAGTAATTACGTCAATATTAATTAATTGACTTTCTAGTCTATTTTATTTTATGTGCAAATATATTATTAAATTTTAATCTAAGCATTAAGAAATAAAACACTTTGTGCCCTCTTATATCGTAGAGGTTACGAAATATACTCCTGGTTACACCCCTTACAGAAAACAGAGTAAGGGGTGCAAATAAAATGTATAATCACTGTTTTTATAATAAAATCTATAAAACATTTCTTATTTGTGAGATTAAAAACAAAACAATGCATTGGTTAAAATAATTACATTCAATACATGTATTGTGTTAGACATTTATATGCCCAGTATATTTTTGTTTAACAAACCAATCAGGAAAAAATCCAAAAGCTACCGTTATAAGATGATTAAACTTATACATATAATGACAACTACTTATCGGATAACAAATTAATTACTACTGTCAGCTACTAGGTAGAATATACCTAGAGTACCTACACCTACCTATGATGTAGGTAGATTAAAAGCTTATTTTGACTTTACGTGTCACTTCGGTGTCACAAGTGAATTTTTCAGGGATGGAGTACAGTACATGATATGGGGATCTTTATTCCGAAAGTAGTACAAAATTAGACCAGGTAAAGGGGCACTATCATCAAAATCGATATATTAATACCACCGTATAGAGAAAACAAATACTTATTTTTTGGTCCAGTACACAATAAAGTCTTCGTAGGGCTATTTCCATTAGCGCCTATGACCAAAAAAAACTTTAAACATGAATAACTCATTTCAATCATGCGAAAATTTGGTTTAAAAATAGTCTTTTTTTAATATAACTTTCATTTAACGAAAAACAAAGGCCTAAATGAAAAAAGAAACAATTTAAAAGTTTCGCTTATGTCTTGACAAGGTATCAAGCAAACCCATATTTTTGCTTTAAACTAATAAAGATATATCAACAAACAATAAGCGATGTAATGGTTTTTGCGCGCGCTGGCCGACTGCCGCCGCTGCGCCGAGATTTCCTATACCCTTGTATACAGGGTCCGGCAATAGTGTGTCGGGCATCTGTAGCCCCTAGAATAAAAAACTTGACAATTTTGTTTAAGTGCAAATCTAAAGTATGTACCAGGATGTATTTCAGGAAAATATTTTAACTTCTATGGGTGGCTCAAAAAAGTGTGGAGTGGACCTGGATGATTTTGTGAACACCCTGTATATTATTGCAGTTTTGGCTTCCTTTCAGATCACTTTACATAACCCTAAGATATGAATAAATACATTTCGATAGTTTCAGAGAAAATAAAAATAAATCAAAAAATATATATTTTTCAGCCCTTCTTATAAAAAATATTAGAAATACAGAACTGTTCTGAAATCAAA